ATCAAATTAATAAATCCTATAATCCTAGCACTTGGCAGCTAGAAGTAGGAGAATCAGGTGTTCGGTTTAAGGCCATTCTTAGCTACATAAGAATAAAAAAAGAAAATATATAACAAAGAGAAACATGAGATAAGATTTGGAGGTGTTGGGTGAGGTCTGCTGGGTTGGCTATGCCAAGCTATGGAGGATGTCTTATCCCCTAAGACTGGAGTTACACAGGGTTGTAACACTTTGTGTAGGTGCCTGGAACTGAACCCAGGTCCTCTGATAGAACAGACAGTGGTTTCAACTCCTAAGCCATCTCTCCAGCCCCAAGCACCTGTCCTATGAGAAGCAACTGGCTGTACACAAAGGCTCCCATTCCCCATCCTGTCTTGGGCAGCAGTTGTACAGTGCCAGAACCTCGCCAGTCTTGGATCACTGTGGAGACTGTTGAGGCTGCCTTTGCATTATAGCCCCACAGACTAGCCATTTGTCTAAGGGATGGCAACAGCATACCCTTCTATTTGTCAGTCAAGGAACCAAGAGTCTGACCTACAGTTGCTTAACCAAGGGCTGTTTTCCCAGCTTGCAAGCCCTCGCCCAGTCGGAATGTGCTGAACAGAGCCAGAAGTACAAACGAATTGATGTAGGCCCAAGGAGGCCATGTGTCCTAGCCCTCTGCAAAATCCCATCTGTATGTATTTTGCAAAGGCCAGGAGTGGACCTTTTCAAGTGTAACTAGGGAGCACTTGGGAAAGTCAGTGCTGAGTTTACAGATGGGAGGTCCCAGGTAGGGCCAGAGTTCACGGAGCTTGTGGGGGCTCCCTATAAAGGAAACATTTGCCTGATTACATACCAGCCACACTTGGTCTCTGGGTTAATGTTACCCTCTAACTTGAGCAGACAGCATCCCTCCACCCAAACTGGTGAACTCCCAGATGAGAGGTTGGGAAAGGGGCCTGGTGGTCCGCCAGGCCTGCTTAGCTCTGAAATTGCCAATCAAGCACCTAAATGTTCCTCTGGCTCTGTGCTACCCTGTGAATCCCAAGGGCTCCTGGTTATCGGCTCATCCCCACCCCCAACACCAGTGCCCACACTCATGTGGGTTGTGTTGGGTTACTTACCATTAGAATATGTCTTTGTCTTTTAAGCCTTCTGTGCACTGGAATTACAGGTGTGCACCATCCTTCCTGGTTCCTAGCTAAAGCACATTTTCTTTATCAACCCTGGAGGAGGAGGAGGAGGAGGAGGAGGAGGAGGAGGAGGAGGAGGAGGAGGAGGAGGAGGGAGAGAGAGAGAGAGAGAGAGAGAGAGAGAGAGAGAGAGAGAGAGGGAAGGAAGGAAGGAAGGAAGGAAGGAAGGAAGGAAAGAAGGAAGGAAGGAAGGAAAGGAAAGAAAGAAAGAAGAAAAAAAGGCAAGATCTCATATAGCCCAGGCTGGCCTCAAACTCTCTAGGTAATCAAGGATGGCCTTCAGTCATGAATTCCAGATCCCCGTGTCTCCATCTCCCAAGTGCTGGTATTGCTGGCCTGTACCACCTACCCTTCCCTTCTTTACTAAATATGGTAGACCCCTTTCAATGCCCTTTGAAAACAGGACTTTAATCTTCAGATACTTAAAGGACAAAATTAAATTCTGTTTTTTAAGTGTTTTCTTGGCATGAATACAAATAAAGGAAAGAAGAGATCTGATTGGACAGTGAGGCAGGTCCTCTACATTATTGAACAGATTACAACCTGGAACCCTGGAGGCTGGAGACTGCAAGGTACCATGGACATGGGCACAGGCCAGCAGACTGAGCCAGGACTGGTTTTAATCCACTGGCTGGCTTTGCTGAAGACAGGCCATTCCACAGAAATAAGCGGCAACCATGAGGGGTCCTGCTTTGCCCTTGTCTGACTTAATTCCCATTTGGGCATCAGTTTACTTTAGTGCAAAAAACCCACAAAAATGCAAGATTGGCATCCATCGTCAGGCAGCTTTTGTTCCTGAGGCCCTGCTGGGAGAGGCCTGAGGCTGGAAGCCAAGTTCTGTGGGGACTCGGTGCCTCTGTGATCTATGCCTAGGGCTGATGGCCCTCTCTGAAAGGACAGCTTTGAGATGAGGCCAATCTCTATAGACTACAAAGTCTCTCTGGGTCATGCTTGTTTTGTCTAACTTACCTCCTGGTTTCCAAAGACACCCAGCTGCCCTCAAATAAAAGCCTGTCTCCTAAACTGGGATAGGATGGGTTAGGGGAAGCAGGTACCTTTTCCCTTCCTCTGCTGGCTTTATTTTATTTTTAAACAAGGCCTTGTTACATTGCCCTGACTGGTCTGGAATTTCCCCCCACACTTGAATTTTCTGAGCAACTTCCTGGGGGAAACATCTGGAATAAGATGTAGGATGAAGAGCCTGTGTGCACGCTCTTTAAAGGCTTAGGTAACTGTACAATTTGAAGCTGGGTATTTGACGAATACCATAATCCCAGCACTTAAATGTGGTAGGCTGAGGCAGGAGAATTGTCTAGAATTTCAGGCCAGACTGTAAGACTTTGACTTAAAACCAAAACAAAGCATTTTAAATCTAAACTCGCAGCTCAGGCCTTCAGAGAAAGAGCCCATTTCCGGGATCTGAGCTTCAAGGTTCACACATGGTTACACAGGAAGTTCCCTTCAGGCCCCCTGAGCCAATGGTTTGGCTGTGTTTCTTTCCAAGAGCACCTCTGCCCTGCCCCCACCCCAGGAATGTCAGGTGTCCCATGTGAGGCCTAACCAGACAGGGTTATTGGCAGGAGATGGTGGATGATTCTGGGGATTCTGTGTGGAATGGAGGTTCACCACCTTGACCTCTGTGTCATGAACAGACCTATGGTTACTTGTTCAAGCTCTTCTGATTTCTGCACACCTCAATGCTAAGTAGATCTGGAAGGAAGAAAGGGAGGGAGGGATAGAGGGAGGAAAGAAGGAAGGAAGGAAGGAAAAAAAAAGGAAAGAAGGAAGGAATGGCGGGTCACTCAGTTTATGCTTTGAAAGTTGCTTGGTAATTCTCCGGAGGCAGGAGGATGCCCTGCTTGGTCTGTGTCTAAAAGAGTTGGGAGAGGTTGTTCTTGGTGGTCAGACAGAGCCCATACAGGTTGTAGACCAGCTACTCCCTGTGTCCAGTTCGATGACTGATACGCCTGTGGCCCAGAAGCCGCTGTGACATCCTGGGCCAGCTGCTTAACAGTGCTGGTGTCAGTGAGGATGTGTACCAAAAAAGAGTCGCCTGGATTCACTGGACCCCTCCAAGGCTGGGAACCTCGTGTTCTCTTTCTTATGCTAGTGGCTTTGCTGTCTCCATGGATCTTCTGCCACGATGTAGATAAGTGTTCAGAATACAGCGCAGAGGGTGGCAATGTGGCTTCTCAGGCTCCAGAGTCAGCAAGTCTCAAAGTAGGCAAACTCCCTCCAACAATCTGCACTGAGATGGAGTGGTTGTCAGGGTCCAGCATGCTGAGCTTTCTCAGGCTCGTCCTCCACGATCTGGCCTACCGTCATCTCCTTGAAGCAGTTGCCACCTTCCTGGTCATCCTTCAGGATATGACCAGCCCGCCTTTCACGCCCTCAGAAAGTACAAAGGCTTGTCCTCTGAGGCCGGGAGTCCAGAACTGCTGAGGTGTGCAGGGGGGGGGGGGGGGGGGTGTGCAGGGGAGTGGGGGATGTGTGACTGCACAGAATGTCCTTGCATTAGATGCTTGTCTGGTACCATACCCTGGATTTTTTAACCTATCCCCACATGCCCTGGGTGAATAAACACCCTCCCAGTACAGCCTGCTCCAGAATGTATCCTCTGTAGAAGGGATGAGCCTGGCTTTTCGGTTCACAGCAAGCTGCCTTCTACCTGTCATGTGATTAGAAGGCAAGTCCCTCTGTCTCCTTATCTGCAATGGGTAGAGAGAAGGGAGGACTGAACTTGGCTGCCAGATCTAGTCACAAATCTGCCCCGAGCAGGACAGATGTTCTTTGTCTAGACAGAGCGGTGGACAGGACTACGAAGGTGGGCCCTCAAGTCTTCTGGTGGGGTATATGGTACTTGCTCAGAGCTGGCACCAGATGAGTAGGTTTGGTGGAGGCCAAGGTTCCAGAACCTCAGAGAGCAGCATTAGAACTGCCAGGGAAGTGTGATGACTGTGCTTGGTGCTGACCCTGGACATCTCCATGAGAAAAAGCACTGAGTTTGGGCAGACCCCCAAAGCAACTAGTTCCCACTGAAGAGGTGCTTCTCTGTCAAAGCTAACAGCAAGGGCCACAGTCTGGTTTTGCTTGTTGTTGGGTTTGGGTTTTGTGTTGTTTTTAGAAAGGATACCCTCAGATGGCACAGGAGGAAAGTTCCTGTAAGTGGAAAAAAAAAAAAAAAAACTGGCCTCCATAAGGGAATCTTGGGCCCTAAGACAGCAGCGGGGCAACCAACTTACTTGCTAGTCTCTCTTGGAGATCCAAGCCTGTGATACTCTCAGAACTTCCCTGCCTGGCCTGTTCAGCTAAGCACCCGACCTGGGAGTGATCAAGGCCTCCCTGGAGTCCAGAGGAGTAGGCCGGTCTCTCCTCCGGGGCTGATGTGAGAGCCAGAGCGGGCCCTACTGAGCCAACAGGCGGCCGTAGCCATACGAAGAGCATTAAGTATTAATAATTTCCAGTTGTTTGCTCGTCGTCTCCCCCCCCCCCCCCCCCCGCCCCAGGCCTCTGCAGGCTGGGACTCGGCTCTGGCTCTGGGCTGCCAGATCTAGAGATATTAGCACCTCTCGGGGGCCGGGGGACAGGACAAGGGGCAAGGATCCCAGCGCACCCCTGAGACAGGGCGGGAAGCCGGACAGAGCCTTGCCAGCGGGCGACACGGCTTGCCAGGGGGAGGGCGGAGGGGGCGTCGCGGGAAGATCGGGGCGCCTGCAGGCTGGGCGACTCGCGGCGGGAGCGCAGCGGCCCCTGGTGCACGGCCTCTCGGCGGTCACCACGGCTGGGCCGGCCCCCGAGGCGGGGCGGAGGGCGGGGTCTCAAGCGAGCGCGGCCGCCGGCGACACCCGGACAACGCGCCGGCGGCAGGGCAAGGAGGGCGGCCCGGAGGGCAGCGGCCCTGGCCCGCGTGTGCTGCCCTCTCTCGCACTCCCACACCGTTCTGGCTGTGCCCCTTCCCCGCCACACGCGCAGCCATGGTGGGCCGGCTGAGCCTGCAGGATGTCCCCGAGCTCGTGGACACGAAGAAGAAAGGCGACGGCGTCCTGGACAGCCCGGACTCGGGGCTGCCCCCAAGCCCCAGCCCCAGCCACTGGGGGCTCGCCGCGGCGGCGGGAGGCGGTGGGGAGCGCGCTCCGGTCCCAGGGGCGCTGGAGCCCGACGCGGCAGCGACCCCAGCAATCCCGGTGAGTTGCCTCGTGCGCAGACTTCTCCCCGTCCAGGTCCATCCGGAGCCAGCCTCGGGGACTCCCCAGCGCTCACTGTCGGTGCGGCCACCCGCCTGTCGAGACGGCGTGGCCATCCCCGGGAGCCGGGGCGGGAGCGGGAGCGCAACGAGAGAGCCTGGCCAGCTGGAGCCAGTGGCTGGAAAATTGTCATCGCCTGGGAGGCGCGGGAGCCCCGGGAGAGGCGAGCCGCAGTCTCCTCCCTTCGAGGTGGTGGCCCCCGGGGCTGCCAAGCTGCGGCTCGACCACATTCCTGTCGGGGCGGGCTGGGTGGGGCTCCCGGGACACGGACAGGGAACCCGGCCCTTCCCACCCGGGGGGCCCACGCCCCGAGGCTTTGCTCCCTAGGCGGCCTCCCTCTGCCGGGACCTGGGAGAGGGGGTGTGTTCTGGGCTCCCGGCACTAGGCGGGCCAACCTTTGAGAGACTTGGGAAGTCATGCCTTGAGCCTTCAGTGTGTTGGTGGGCCCAGGTCCTGAATACCTAACTCAGCCAGAGTTCAGATCTTAATGGGTCTAGAGTCCTCCAGGCCAGGTGGCCAAGGCTTTGAAAGTTTTAATCCTTTTACTTCTTTTACTCTAAACTTTTTGCAACAAAAACTCAAGTCTGTTTGGCCATGGGATCTGTTCAGGTGGTGGTTTGCAGGCCGATTGAGCACAGGGGAGGCCACATCCTGCCTACAGTCGAAGCTCAAAGTAGGACTTGGGATGGCTGTAGACTGGGTCTCCTGTTATTCTTGGGGACCACAGCGGCTTTGGTGGTGTGGGTTCTCTTGACCTATTGACCTATTGACTCTGTCTTAGCAAGCATCAGCACCTCATACTTCATTCCAAGATGAAGCTTGCTTCTGCTCGACCTTCCGGCCTTTTGCCTCATCTTACCTGCCCTGACGGCAGACCAGACAGACACTCACGGGTGCTTCTGATGTCACTTCTTCCACCTGCCAGGAACCTCAACCCCCACCTTTCCCACCAAGCCCTGATGACCTTTCCATGCTCAACTATGTCACCTCCTCTGGGAGCTTTCTCAGACATGCTCCAGAACCTGTGGCTTGGTGTCCATCCTTCAATGCCTCCTTGTAGATTTCTCTCTCATTACTGCTACTAACCCACCTCATCCCCCTCCCACACCTAGATACCCAGGGAGTGTTTGTGTGCTGGGCAGGAATGAGAGGCAGGGAAAGGGAAGCCAAATGGACCTCTGGGTAAAAGTTGTCTTGGGGTATGGGAGAACAAGCTGTGATGGCCACATAATGCTGCAGGTTCCAGGGCTGCCTGGGATGTGGCCTCCTGAGGGGACACTCTGGCAGCCAGAGAACAGAGCAGGACCCACTGTTTCTAGATCTGTACCCACACCCATAACCATACATGCTTCCCCAACCCGGAGTCCCTATGCTCCATCCTAGCCCCGGAGCAGTACCCCAGGACTCTGGGCTGGTCCTTTTGGCTTTTGTGTCTTGTACTGGAAACAGAGTAAAGATCTCAGAGCCAACCTTCTAGAAACATTTGCCTTCTTTGTCCTGGGGGTGGGACTGCCACTTCCACACCCTGGCACAGATGTCACTCTTGCTCTTAAATTAAGCAAAGAAAATGACAGATCTCAGAAAACCAGAGAGCAGAGTGCTGCAGAGCTGCCTCTGCACTGTGTTTATCTCTGCACATGAGCACAGAGGGCCGAATTCTTGCAAACTGGGTGACCAGAGGCTGTCACCTGAGCTTCCCTGCTGAGTCAAAGGCTGCACCCTGCACACTGGGCTTTCTGGCTAGTGGAAGCCGACAAGGAGCAAAAACATCTCTGTGTTCCACTGTCACAGAGCTGCAGGAGCCCTCTGTCTTGGATGGCTGCAAAGGAGGTAGGGAAGGAGTGGATCTTTACCTTAAAAAGAAAAAAAAAAGAATCCTGGGAGCTTTTCTTCCTTGGCAGTAGCTGTGGCCTTCTTCCTCTAACTGTTGCTGAGACAGCGACAGTGGTGGAGCTCTGAAGAGTTAAGCGTGAGTTGCAGGGCTTTCGGGTACAGCGCCTCTGGCCCTGGCCCCAGTCCTGAGGTGGAGTTCATCATGCCAGCTTTCTCTTCTGCCTTTCACAGACCTTCCCCCTGTGCAGATAGAGACATAGGATGGACACAACTCCACCGAGGACACACAGCTCACTTAGGATGGGCCTTGCCTAATGTGCTCATAGGTGTAGTGCCCGTCACTGAAAAGGGGAGGGGGCAGGATTGACCTGGGATTTGACCCCGACCTTCCTGCCCTGTCTTGTGCACTTCCCATGCCTTGGGGCAGGCCTGTCCTTTGGAGGGCCAGACGGTAGTCACCCTGGAGCCCTCGCTGGAGGCTCTGAGCCTCAGCCTTCTGTGGAGTGTATACTTTGACTGGTCAGTCATAGGTCTAATCATTCTCTCTCTCTCCCCGAAGAACCCAGCATCTCGGACCCAGTCTCTGACTTCCGGCTGCTCACCACGGCTCTGTCCCCTGTCCTTCGGCGAAGGAGTCGAGTTTGACCCGCTACCACCAAAGGAAATAAAGTGAGTCTACTGATATTATCTCTTAAAATCTTTTTAAAATTCCAGGTATGATTGCTTATTGTTTTAAAAAGTTAATTATGAAAATGTACCAAAGACTATTAACAGCTTGAGTTATTTTCTTGCATGAAACTAATTAAACATATAGATGTTCCATTTATTTATGTAGTTGTTTAAGATTTCAGATGGGGCCTTGCTATGTTGCATTAGCTGGCTCGGTATTCACTGTATAGCCCAGGTTGTCATCCAACCTTAGGGTGATATTTCTGTCTCTGCCTCCTGAGTGTGAGGGTTACAGGTGTGCCGGACCACACCTACTAGACCTCTTTTTAAAACAAAAGTGAGACCTGGTGATGAAGTTCTGCTGTATGCTTCGCACACTTCATACACCATGCCTTGGGGTGCTAAAGATTTTGCTGAATATTGCTGCTTTCCTGAAGCCACTGGTCCCCTCTACCCCACCTTCAGGGTGCTGTGACCCTGTGTCATGTTATGTCCCTGGACAAGTCCTCTGGGAATGATCTCACCCAGGATGATCGGGGCAAAGAGTTGTGGAGAGGTTCCAGAAAAGGGCTGTCTTTTTAGCAAAAGGAATTTTACTTTTGGTGACTGGGGGCTTTGTAGCTGGAGTTTCAGTTGCCTGAACACAAAGGGGCCTTTTATATGGAACAGAGGGAGGTTCATCCCTCTAGAGGTGAGCAGGTTCGCCTTTCATTCCCCTGGAGATTGTGTTTCTGACAAAACTGGGACATGGCTTCGTGACTTTAGCATCTTGTGACTCCAGGGAGAATACAGAGTGCTGCTTCTCCCCCACACGATGCTTGTGGAGACACTGATAGCCATGGAGCAGCAATATGAATGTAGCCACGTTGTCCTTGTGGTGTTCCCTGAACACATTAGCGATGAAGGGTGTGTAGACATACAGTCCCAGCCAGCATTCGGGAGGCTGAGGCAGGACCTGGGGCAATTCTAGGCTAAGCTGGCCTACTCAGCAAGACCTTGTCCCAATAATAATAATAGTAATAAAGCAACTGAGGGATATAAATAGAAAGTTAGTTTGTGGCCATCAGGGATGCACTTTGGCTTTCATTGACAGGGTCAGGTCCCTGGGTCCCCCAAAGTTGGAGGTTTCCAAACTATAGTCGAGGTAGGCCAAGCATTGAGGCTATGACTGTAGTCAAACTTCTAGAGCCAGCCCTCAGCAGTTCTGGGATTCTTTCCCTTCTCATGCAAGAGCTGGTCATGGAGGGGGTGGGGAAGCTCTTTACCCCCATACAGAAGCCGACTCCACCTTGATTCATGACACAGCTCTGCTCAGTGACAGATGCGTTCAGAGAACAGATCCTTGGGTAATGTCACTGCACGATGTCTTGGGTCCTTAGGTAATGTCACTGTATGATGTCTTATATCTCTGTTCATATCATGAAAGGAAGTCAAGGCAGCTGGGTGTTGATGGCGCATGCCTTTAATCCCAGCACTCGGGAGGCAGAGGCAGGCAGATCTCTGTGAGTTCGAGGCCAGCCTGATCTACAGAGTGAGTTCCAGGACAGCCTCCAAAACAATACAGAGAAACCCTGCCTCGAAAAAAAAAAAAGGTGCTATATCATAGATCACTAGATGATGTACTCTTATAAGACCACTGTCATGTATGTTGCTAGTCATTGACCAAAATTGTGCTGTGTGTGGCTTAATTGCCCTGACAGCACTTGGCTGCATGTAGACACTGTGCCTGTTTGTTATCAGAGAGGATTCTGAGGTATATGTTTGGGAAGATGCATTTAGGTAGGTTCTGTGACAGACTGACTGGAATATGCCTCTCATAAAGCACTCCTATAGACTCTTGCTGCTTCTCCCTGATGCAGCCTACTTCAATGTTTGTGCCTCTGGAGAGAAGAGAGGCCACACTTGGGAGGACAGCTTCTCTGAGGACAGCTTCATGCTGTCTTGTATCTCCCCACAGGTATACTTCCTCAGTCAAGTATGACTCTGAGCGACACTTCATCGATGATGTGCAGATGCCCCTGGGCCTGGCGGTGACTTCCTGCAGCCAGACGGTCACCTGTATCCCCAATTGCACTTGGCGAAACTATAAGGCTGAGGTGCACTTTGAGCCCCGCCACAAGGCCTCGCGCTTCCTCAGCACCACCATCATCTACCCCAAGTACCCCAAGACCATCTACACCACCACTCTGGATTACAACTGCCACAAGAAGCTGAGGAGATTTCTGTCCAGTGTGGAGCTCGAGGCCACAGAGTTCCTGGGTAGTGACGGTTTCTCAGATGAATGCTGACTCAAGCTAGCTACTTGGGGTTGGGCCAGCTGTTCTTCCACTGCCCGGTCCCCAGACCACCCTGGACAAGCTGGGTAACATTGCTTTTGTGCATCATCCCAGCCCCAGAGGGGTCTTACCTGGAGATACCTCTAAACCTACCAGGGGAAGAAGGGGAGAGAAAATCACTGCATCTTATAATAATAGAGAAACTTGGCTTTCTTTACATTTTTTTCAGATTTTTTTTTAAGGAACATGTATATATGTGTTCTGGTTGGTTGATGCAATTTCCCCAAAGTCTCAATTTGATGAAAATGAAGATAGGCAGAACAAAGGGACGATGACATTGAGACAGGCTGAGGGGAACTTGTCCTCCATTTTCTGATGAAGAAAGTGGGAAAGACTCTGGGATAGAAAAAATGAGTTTTAAGAAATTTCAGCCATGCATATCTTCATTGCTGAAAAAAAAAAGCGAAAGGGAGCTAGCTCTGGCAGCCTGTGATGCCCAGGCGTGCACAGCCTGTGGAGACGTGTGCTCTGGACCATTCTTTGTTTCCACCTCCATTGGCTCTTTCCTGCTAATCCAAACTCTTAGCATTATCAAGATCTTTTTCATGGTATGAGGGGAGAAAAACAAAAACCACAAAAGGAGATGCCTTTAAAACATGATCACTCTGCCTGGTCTGCCTTCGTTGGATTGGGTAAACAGCTAGCCCCGTCTAGGCCACCGCAGCCGTCTGGTCCTCCAAGGTTGGTTCCAGGCGCAGGCTCTGGTGCAGCCCTAGCGTGCTTGGCATCTGGTTAACATCTCCCTAGGCTTGTGTAATTCTGCTCATAGGTATTTTGGGGGTTTTGAAATACTTTCCCTTTTTTTCACAAGGCAAAATGCAGCAGAGGCCTCTTTTTGAGAGGAACGGCGTTTTAAAAGAATACTTTGGGGAAATGCATGTCGGAACTGTTGGGAAAGGGGTTCCACTGTAGGCTGCCTGGCCTAAGAGCAACTGCGATAGGAGGAGGCAGATTCGGATGTGACTCCATCATCGTGACTAAATGTCTCGATGGGATGATTCTTAGGACTTTGATAGCGTCATAACTGGGAAGGATTGGGTTTAACCCCAAAAAGCAAAGAATATTGTTTACCATCCAGATTAAGCTAAGATGAATTCAGGAATAGGGAGTGACAATTCAAACACCACAGCCTTGCCTCTGTGGTGATGGGGGAACATTTCTTTTGTGCCACTGTATACACAGAAGTGACTATGGTGTAGCTGAGCCAGCCACCGCAGCGGGGCAATGCTGACCCAGTGGGTGCTGTGCACCAGACTGCCCCTGCTCCCCTGCCCCTACCCCAGGCCTGGCTTGCTTCTTAGAACCCCCTGCCAGGCGCCACAGTGCTGGAGTAAAGAAAGTGGCAAACTGATCTTTCTTCCAGCATTGGAAAGAACAAGTTGTATATACCCCCCCATACATCCAAACCATGTCAAGTGGGCTGCAGAGCCTCTGCCCTCTGATGTCTCTGGGTCTGTGAGGATGGCTTCCATCTGTCCAGAACTCGGAATTGAGAACATGTTGGCTCCCCTGGAGCCACAGCAGAGACCTGCTATCATGGAAAAGAGGTGCCAAGATAATGGCTGTCATTTGAAGACTGTGGCACCTTCTAGAGCCACACCGCCTAGTCCATGTCCCCAGCAGACAACAATGCCCTGCCCCCTTCTGTTGTACTTTTAACTCATCCTCCTGGGCAGAGAGATTGCTGGCTTCATGGTCCCGGCTGACTAGGGAACAGCTCAGTTGGGTACACACTGGGGACACAAGCTTCTCAATAGAACTCAGAGTGGCAAATGCTACTTGGCTTTGGAAAAGCATTTATCTGCAAAAGTGGATTTTCTAGCTGACTTTATAATGTCACTGAAGTGGGAAATACAATTCCTTACTTTTTTTTGCAAATACAGGGTTTTTGTTGTTGTTGTTGTTTGTTTTTTTTGAGACAGGGTTTCTCTGTGTAACAGTTCTGGCTTTTCTGGAACTTGCTCTGTAGACCAGGCTGCTCTTGAACTCACAGAGATCTGTCTGCCTGTCTCCCAAGGGGTGGGATTAAAGGTGTGCGCCACACCCACCCTCACTCCCACCCCTCACAAATACAGTTTTGTTTTGGTTTTGGGTTTTTTGTTTGTTTGTTTGGTTGGGTTTTTTTTGGTTTTTTCGAGACAGGGTTTCTCTGTGGCTTTGGAGACTGTCCTGGAACTCGCTTGGTGGTTCAGGCTGGTCTCGAACTCTCAGAGATCCGCCTGCCTCTGCCTACAAATACAGTTTTTAAGTTGGGAAAATCACCAAGGCTTTGCTCTGCCTCTTTGGTTTGGGTTCAGTATGATAACTTAAGATATTCCCGCCTCCCCACCCCAGATCTTAGGCAGGATCATGTTAAATTAAGGCAGAATATTCTAGGTGTGGATGGGACCAGAACCATATCAGTAAGTAGAAGCAAGAGACTGCGGATGTCTACTGTGGATGGAAATGCGTGGGGTTATTCGGTAGGTCATTTGCTAGGAGCCGGCTCTGTGGAGCTGTTTTGAACCTCCTCTGGTTCTCGAGCTGCAGGCCCGGAAGCTGGGTGACATCCTGGAGCACCATGATGGCAGTGTCACCAGCCCAAAGCAGATTCCTGATAGTTAGTGGGCAGAGTGGAAAAGGAGATTTTATAACTCACTCACTTGACATTCCTAAGTGTGGGTGAGGGACTGGGTGTGTTTTCTAGGAAGCTCTTCATTCTTTTCTAAGTTATGGCTGCTGCAGATGCTGTGTGTTTCTAGGGAAAGGTAATTTTCCTCTCAAACATCTAAAGACACTTCATTTGAATTTGAGCAAGTGTCTTTTCATTTGACACTTTTCCTGTTGTTAAACTTAGAAAATATTTGACACACACCAAAAGACCCCCCCCAAAAAACCAAAAAACCCTTTAAAATTATCTTTGACTTCTGTCCCACTCCATTTGTGCTTTGTGACTTCTCCACTTAACAATAAATTAGCTAAAACATAAAACCCAGGGATGCTTGCTTTGTTTTATTCATTCATTTATTCATTCATTCTGTATTTTAGTTGTTGTTTTTTGTACTTTTGATGTTTCAGTTCGTTTGTTTTAACAAGCAGACTCACTGTGCAGCCCTGACTGACCTGGAATTCACTCTGTAGACTGGGCTAGCTTCAAACTCACAAAGACCAGCCTGTCTCTGTTTTCCAGGTGCTAGAATTAAAGGCATGTGCCACCATGCCTGGCCTGCTTTTATTTTTTTAAGGAAAATGATGATGTTGGGATCAGCAAACTGAGGAAAGCCCCTGTCTTGAGACCCCTCCCCCAACCCTGTTAATTGCTAGGCAGGCAATCTACCCCATAACTATCCAGCCGCTGCTCGTCTCTTGAAAAATTTTGATACATTTTGTTTGTGACAGGGTCCCATGTAGCCCAGGCTAGCCTTAAATGTGCAGCCAAGGATGGCCTTGAGTTCCTGCCTCTATGCCCTGAATGTTGGGATTATGGGCATGCTCTGACACACACAGCTAGACATGATTTATCTGACTGTTAATATGAAGATGTGAGAAACTTTTGGGGGGCATATTGATCGCTGGACACACTTTCATAAGGGAGTTGGATTCCTGTGGATATGTACTCTTGCCTGACATTGATCCTCCTGGAAATGTGGGCATCGCCTAGGCTATTAGGTCACCTCTCTCCACAGCATCTTTCAAACTGCTGCTTTACAGAAGAAATGCATGCCCAGGTGGAATCCTCCCTGCTTTTCTTGAGGTAGGAGGCTCTGGGCTGAAAACCCTGTGGGCACTGGACAGAAAGTAGAACCTGCCTAGAGTCCTCTGGAGGCGTCACATCTGTGACCGTCGGATGGAGCGAATGTCAGGGGCACAGCAAGGCTGTCTCGAGGTGTCCTCCTCGCTGCCAGGGTTTCTAAATAAAGTAGTGGAGGCAATGGCACTTTTGATTCTAAAAAGGGGATTCACACGTCTGATGAGGTAAAGCCCTACAGAGAAGTAATGACTTCTCTCACCTGTCCCAAGGGTCATAGCTGACCCCAACAGCAAACGATGATTGACGAACAAGAGGAAAACATAGACTGATGTGAGGCATGCTTTCCCAGAAGTGTGGCTAACAGAAATAAAGACCTGAAGGGTGGCTGCACCTTCTGGCATGCACCTGCAATCCCAGTTCATGGGTGGTGAAAGCCAGAAATGAGGCTCTGGGGCTTGGAGACTCAGCCATGAACCCTGAATGAAACGGGTGGGGAGATGCTTGGCATTCTGTGTGGCATTCCTTCCCAGGAGTTTAGGGCAGGATGCATGCTCCACGATGGGTTTAAGGCAGTGTCTCTCATCCTGTGGCTTGTGACCCCTGGGGGGCATTGAAAGACCCTTTCACAGGGGTCACCTAGACCATCAGAAAACACAGATGTTTGCATTACAATTCATAACAGAAGCAAAATTACAGATGTGAAGTAGTAACGAAAATAATTTTATGGTTGGGGAGTTACCACAACATGAGGAACTGTATTAAAGGGTCACAGCATTAGGAAGGTTGAGAACCACTGGATTAAGGGGGAAGAGGTCAGAGAGGGGACTACCTGGAATTTTACTTGTTTAGTCTTCTGAGACAGGGTTTCCAGACGTGGCCCAGTGATCCTTCTAACTGCCTTCCAAGTGCTGGAATGCCAGGCCCTACCTTGGTTTTATGGCTTGCTTCAGGCAGGAAGGTGAAGGGAAGGAGTCAGGAGTTTCATAGCCTGCTCCAGGGGAAAGTGTGGGGGGTCAGAGAGAGGCCTTCCTGCTTCTTCATCTCCTACTACCACACCCAGAGTGCCAACACCCACATTTTAGGGTAGCCTTTATGTACCTCATCATTGGGCAGAGTGGAGAAATGAAGGGTAGGAATGACGGAAACGGAGGCCCTGTAAGCCAGGTTTAGTGGCTCAAGCCTGCAATTCCATCACGTGAGGTTGAGGCAGGAGGCTCTTGAGTTCAGAGTTGTCCCGGACTATATAGCCAATTCCAGGCCCTGGAACACCACACACTGGGGAGATGAGTGGGGTAAAGTGTTTGCTGTACAAGTGTGAGGAGCTCCCCAGGGCCCGTGTGAAAAGCTGATGTGGTGATACCCATATCTGTAATCCAGTAGCCAAACAGGACATCCCTGGAGCTCGATGGCCAGCAAACTGGTGACCT